ATGAGAGAACCCCAATCAGATTAACAGCTGACTCTCAGCAGAAACAACAGAGGCCAGAGGAATTAGAGAGTTTGTTGTTAGAAGGCCCACCTTACAAGAAATAGTAAAGGAAGTTCTTCAGCCTGAAAGTACTGACCACAGACAGTAAAATTCAAATCTACATGAAAAAAATCAAAGAGCACCAGGTGACAGTGATTATGTAATTATAAAAAACAATAGAAATGCCTATTTTCTCCTCCCCTTACTTGATTTAAAAAACCATTGTATAAAATAATATGTATATAATGTATTGTTGGGCCTACAACATATAGAAACATATGTATATTTGCCAATAATAGCACAAAGAAGGTGAGTAGGAACAAAGCTGTAACAGCCTAAGGAAATGACTAAAGATGGTAAAGTAATGTATTGTTGGGTTTTTAACAACAGATGTAACTTGTTTAATAATAATACCAAAGAAGGGGGTGAAAGGGAATAAAGCTACATAGCCCCTGCTCGCTGCAACTAGAGAAAGCCAGCGCACAGCAACGAAGACCCAACGCAGCCAAAAATAAAAGCTGACACTGTTAAGATGTATATGTTAAACCCTAGAGCAATCATTAAAAAAAAAAACTTCAAAAAAAGAAAGCAGGGAGTTCCCTGGTGGTCCAGTGGTTAGGACTCCACACTTCCACTGCTGTGAGCACGAGTTTGATACCTGGTTGGGGAACTAATATCCTGCATGTGGCGTGGCCCCCCTCCAAAAAAAAAAAGAGCAGTAACAAAATGGAAATAGAGTCACAGATGTAGAAAACAAATTATTTATGGCTACCAGGGCATAACAAGAGGGGAGGGATAAACTGGGAGATTAGGTTGACATATACACACTACTATATATAAAATAAATAACTAATAAGGACCTACTATATAGCACAGGGAACTCTACTCAATACTCTGTAATGGCCTACATGGGAAAAGAATTTTAAAAAGAGTGGATATATGTATTATATATATGTATAACTGATTCACTTTGCTGTACACCTGAAACTAACACAACATTATAAATCAACTATAATCCAATGAAATTTTTTTTAAAAAAGCAGTAAAGGTGGAACAGAGAAACATAAAAAATATGTGACACATAGAAAATGAAAAGTAAAATGGCAGATGTGAATACAACCAAATCAATAACAACCTGTGAATGGATTAAACAACCCAATCAAAGGGCAGAGACTGTCAGACTAAGATGAAAAAACATGCTCCAACTATATACTATCTAAAGGAAACACACTTTAGATTCAAAGATATAAACATATGGAAAGTAGAAGGATGAAAAAAGATTATCTCATGCAAAGAGCAATCACAAGAAAGCAGGAGTGGCTATACAGGTTTCAGACAGACTTTAAAACAGTTACTAGAGATAAAGAAGAACATTTTTTACAATGATAAAAGGGTCAAACGACCAGGAAGATAACACAGATATAAACATATACTCAGGGACTTCCCTGGTGGTGCAATGTTAAGAATCCACCTGCCAATGCAGGGGACACGGGTTCGAGCCCTGGTCCGGGAAGATCCCACATGCTGCAGAGCAACTAAGCCCGTGTGCCTGCACTCTAGAGTCCGCAAGCCACAACTACTGAAGCCCACGCACCTAGAGCCCATTGTCCACAACAAGAGAAGCCACCGCAATGAGAAGCCCACGCACTGCAATGAAAAGTAGGCCCCGCTCACCTCAACTAGAGAAAGCCCGCACGCAGCAACAAAGACCCAACGCAGCGAAAAATAAAATTAATTACTTTAAAAAAATAACAAACATATATTCACCTAGTAACAAAGCACCAAAATACATGACAAGAAATGAAGGGAGAAATAGACAATTCAACAATAAGAGCTAGCATATGACCCTGCAAATCCCACTCCTGGGCACATATCCAGAGAAAAACATGGTCCGAAAGGATACATGCACCCCGGTGTTCATTGCAGTACTGCTTACAATAGCAAAGACATGGAAGCAACTAGATGGATAAAGAAGATGTGGTACATATATACAATGGAATATTAGCCATTAAAAAGAATGAAATAATTCCATTTGCAGCAACATGGATGGACCTAGAGATTGTCATACTGAGTGAAGTTAAGTCAGACAGAGAAGGAGAATGATATCACTTATAAGCAGAATCTAAAAAGAAATGATACAAATGAACTCATTTACAAAATAGAAACAGACTTACAAACTTAGAGAACGATTTTATGGTTACCAGGAGGGAAGGGTGGGGCAAAGGGATAGTTAGGGAGTTTGGGATTGACATGTACACACTACTATATTTTAAATGGATAACCAACAAGGACCTACTGTATAGCACAGGGAACCCTGTTCAATGTTATGTGGCAGCCTGGATGGGAGGGGAATTTGGGGGAGAATGGATACATGTATATATATGGCTGAGTCGCTTTGCCCTGCACCTGAAACTATCACAACACTGTTAATTGGCTATACTCCAATATAAAATTAAAAGTTAAAAAAAAAAAAAGAACTTAGAGCGGGCAGATGACACAATCAGAAAATAAAAAAAAAAAAATATATATATATATATATATATGTAACTGAATCACTTTGCTGTACACCTGAAACATTGTGAGTCAACTATACTTCAATAAAAACAAACAAACAAACCTTAGATGCTTACTCTGCAGTCCAGATAGCTATGGATCATCTAACCAAATATGATTAAGTTCAGAAAGGGACTCTTTTTTTTTTTTTTTTTTTTTTTT